AATAATAATAATAAATTTCATTCATTACAAAATATTTGATCAATATCGATACGAAAAAATAATAATAATAATTTTTAACGGAATCATTTTAACAAATAAAAAATTTTTTTTTTTTATGCATTAAAAATCTCATTCAAATTTGCAATAATAAATTTATTTTATGAAAAAATAACTCGAAGTACATTTTTAAAAAAAAAAATTAATTAATTAATCAATTAACGAGAGCAAAAAAAAAAAAAATTGAAAAAAAAAAAAAAAAATTTGAGCAAAAATTTTTAAAATACATAAATTTATATATAAGACTAGCATTATTGTCTTCATCAATAAGAAGAAGAAAATATAATAATAATAAGAAAAAATTAATTTTTTTTTTTGTTTATAAATAAATAAATAAATAAAAACAAATTATTAATTATTCAAATTTTAAACAGTAATAATAATAATAATAATAATAGTAATAGTAATAATAATAATAATAAATTCAAAATGTTATTTTTAATTAATACAAAAAAAAAAAAAAAAACATGACCAAAATATTTCCAGTCAAGAATCACAAAAAAAAAGACAAAAATTTCATCGTATCAATAATAATAATAATAATAATAATGATAATAATAAATAATTAATAAATAATAAACCGAAAAATACAATTTTAAAATAATAATAATGAATAATTTTCATTTGAAATAATATAAAAATTTTTTAATTAATTAATAAGTAGATTATTATTGATGTGGGATGGGGTTGGGGGGATAGGAGAACGTGGGGGCATTGAGGCGGAGAGAGAGGAGGAAAGAGGGGAGGGGAGGGCGATGACTAAACCAACACGTTTAAATTAATTAATAAAAAAAAAAAAAAAAAAAAACAAAAAATTATTTTAGAATTTTGTCGTTGTTTCAGTCTTTAATTAAATTAACATACAACATATTTTATACAAATTTTTTTTTTTTTTTCTTTACATTTATTTATTTTTTTTTCACAGTACGTGTTTACATATATACATATATGTAAATAAATTTAAATAAGAGTATATATAATAAATTCACACACGTGTGTGTGTGCGTGTGCGTGTGTGCAGGACACGTATGCGAGCGTATTCCGTACCTTAAAAATGAGGAGGAATGCATTTTTTCACAACCGATATTAAAATAAATCCTCTAGTTTAAATATTATTATTATTGCATTTTTCTAACATTTTTTTTCTCTTTTATTTAATTTAATTTTTCCTTGTTTTTCTGACGTATAAAGAAGGAAACAAAAAAAACGAAAAAAAGAAAATTTCGATAAACAACAAACACGTGACAAGAAAAAAAAAAATTTTTTTAACATTTTATTATTATTATTTTTATTTTAAATATTTAAATAAAAATTATAAATCTAAAATTTCTCCAGAACACAATAACAAAAAGAGAGAGAAAGAGAGAGAGTGAGTGAATGAATGAATGAGTGAGAAAGATAGAAAGAGAGTTATTAAGAGATCATATACATAACTAACTAAGGCCCACAATATTTATCGAGCCTCTTTTTTTATTAACCTGGACAATAAAAATTTTTGTATCACAGATTGAAATTTTAATTATTGTTCTTCCCTCCCTTCCCCCTCCCCTCCCTCCCTCCTAGGATTTACATCATTATTATTATTACAATAGCAACATCTCTTTCATTTTTACACATCATTCGATAATGAATAATTGTTCGAATTTAAATTCACTTCATTGACAATTTAAAAAAAAAAAAAAAACAAAAAAAAACATAACATACGATTTGATTATGTAAATCATTATTATTATTATTATTAAAATAACAGTAATAATAATAATAATAATAATGAAAATTTGCCACGAATAAATAAATAAATAAATCATCATCACGTGATACGATAATACTACATAAGACTTTTTTTGCTATTAACAAATTTTATTAACAATAAATTAAATAAATAAATAAAAATTGATTCGAAATGCTTTTATTTTTACATAAAAAATTTATTGCTTATTTATTTATTTATTTATTGATTTTTTGTTTTTGAAAAATGCGAGTAATATATAATATATATAATAAATTTTTTGTAATAATACGATCGTTGCTCCCCACACAATAATTTACCACCATCATCTTCATCATACATATTAATAATAATACATTATTTATTTATTAATTTTCGTATTGCAAAAAAAAATTAATTTAATAACTTTTTGATACGCATCACAATTTTCGCATACGCACATACTTTACACTTTACACGCACACGCAATTTTTGTTATAATATTTTTTTCATTTATGTGTGTATCGCACTACCTACATCATTAACAATTTTTTTAATTATTTAATATTGCTCTTATTATTATTATTATTATTATTATTATTATTATTATTATTATTATTATTATTTAGTATTTTTTATGATGGAAAATCAGACAAATATATAAACAAAATAAATTTGACATCATTGATCGCAAATTCATTTCCAGTACAATAATAATAATAGACAAGGATTATTATTATTATTTTAAATTTATATATACGTGTATGAGTATGAGTGTGTGTGTGTGTGTGCGGGTGTATGTGTGTGTGTGTGTGTGTGTGTGTAAGGCTCTGTCCCGTTTACAAAAAAAAAATTACATTTGAAATTCATTTACAAAAAAACTTATTACACAATTAAACCGAATTATTATTTATTATCATATTCGTAGCCATATTAATAATATTTTAAATAAATAAATATATATATATAATCATGGCCACAAGTGATTGCTTTTTATAATTTAAAAATATAATAATAATAATAATAATAATAATAATATCACATTTTTCCCCCCAACTTTTTTTTTTAAATAATAATAATAATAATAATAATAATTATTTATGCTCGTACGTACTATTTACGCTATCATTTTGTACTCAGATGATGCCTATTATATTAACGCAAGAAAAAATAATTTCATAAAAATTAAAAATTAACTACTTCATTTATTTATTTATTTAACGATAGTTAAATTTATTATTATTTTAATAATTAAATGAGTGAGCTGCCTCATAGAATAAATAAATAAATAAATAATTGAATTAATACCTAAAAAAAAAATAATCTAGGCGTTATATAAGTTCTTATAACGAATAAAAAATTATTTATTTATTTGTTTCTCTCTCTCTCTCTCTCTTTTTGTTTTTGTTTTTTTATGTAAAGGCAGCACGGTGGATTTTTATTTATTTATTTAAGGACGTTGCCATAAAATAAATTTGAACGATTTTCACCGATGCATTCATTCTAAGATTTTCCCTTCTTCTTCTTCTTCTTCTTCTCAAAATTACCAGAACAGCAAGCAATATCTGGACGGTTTAGTATAAAAAAAAAAAAAAAAAAAAAAAAAAAAATATGCACGTGTATATGCATAAATTTACACAAAAATTATTATTATTATTTTCGCACGGTGAGAAAATCATTTAAAAAAAAAAAAAACGTTTTCTTTTACGTATTTTTCTTTCTTTCTTATTTTCCTATTTTCTTTTTTCCGGTGATTAAAGATTTTTGTTTTTAAATTATAATAAATATTATTTTTAAAACACGTTAAAACGATTCGATTTACAAAATTATTATCGATCAATTCCCTTTTATAAATAATAATAATAATAATAATAATAATAATAATAAAATAAAATTAATTTACTATCAATCATTACATAAACATAAAAACTTCGGGATTGCAACCTTTTTTTTTTGTTTTTTTGTTTACCAAAAAATTTTTAATAATAATAATAATAATAAAATAATAATAAATAATAATGATAATAATAATAAAAGAAAACTTTTAAATAAATTAGAAAATAAAATCAGTTCAATTACGACAGGATTTACGATTATAAAAAAAAAAAAAAAAAAAAAAAAAAAATTATAAAAAAATCCTGGATTTAAAGTATACTGAGCTGAGTATTAAAGTTTAAATTTTTTTTTCTTTTCCTCACTTTAATAGTGCACGCACACGAAATGCGTAAAACGTATAAAAAAAAATTTTATTTCACGCAAATTCGCGGCGATACCAATAATAATAATAATAATAATAATAATAATAATAATATTAATAACTAAATACAAGAAACGAAATCAAAATAACATTGTACTATATCGAATTATTTACATATATAATTATTTACTAATGCAAAAAAAAAAAAAAAAAAAAAAATGGCCGTTTCTCATCGAAATTTTTTTCTTTTTTACCCCCCCCCCCCCCCCCGACAAATGTTGCTTCTTTCTAAGTTTATAAGAAAAAAAAAAAAAAAAAACGATCGTCGAAATATCAACATCGCTTAAAAATAAAAAAAATAAAAAATTTTCTTACCGAGTGTAGGTTTTGTGTATTGATTATAGAAAAATGATCAAGTTCGTTCATTTTATCGTGGCATAAGATAATAATAAAAAAAAAGAAAAGTGGTAGTTATTTATAATTATTGCAAAAAGTAAAGTAAAATAAAATAAAATAAATATTCAACGTAAATATTTATAAATGTAAATTAAAGCTTTGAAAAGAAAATCGAAGAATAATGATAATAATATGAATTCCAGAAGCAACGAAATGTAGTCAAGAGAATAACGCCTAAAAAAATTCCTTTCCTATAAATCAACTTGAATTGATCTGTTAACTCGGAACTTAGGCAACATGTTCTCGAGTCTGAATAATTCTCAAGATGTCGATTTGGACGATTCGACATCGAAATCTAAGACTAAAAGTTTTGTTTCCTCGGTACCGTTTCTGCTTCCCACGGCGCACACCAATTTTGTTTCGTTTGCTCGAATTCTCCAAACCACACCGCCCGATCCTCCCGAATCCAGTGCCACTAAATTCCGTATGAATTCCCCCGTTCTCACGTCCCATAATTTAACCGTTCCATCGTCGGAAGACGTTATTACAAAACGTTTGTTAAACTGAAGACAAGTTACCGCGGATTGATGTTTGTTAGGCCCTGAAAAAAATACGTTCGATAAATAAAAAAAAAAATTAAACTCGATCGATTTCGGTATGTGGGGGGGGGGACGGGGGGAAAAATTAGAAAATACCTGATAGGGTTTGAAGGCACTGTCCCGTAACAATGTCCCAGACTTTGACCGTCGAATCCGCGTTTCCCGAAACTAAAATGTTGTTTCTCAACTCCATACCCGAAGTTAAACTTTGATGACCCATCAGCGTGTGCCTGCAAGCTCCGCTTTCGACTTCCCATACCCTTATGCTAGTATCTAAAGACCCACTAACTACGTGAACCCCGTCAAACTAAAAAGTTAATAAAAGAAAAAAAAATGAGAAAAGTCTTTAAAATTTTTCCATGACATTTTTTTTTTTTTTTTTTTTTTAATTTTAAATCAAACCTGCAGAGAATAAACTCTGTTCGTGTGACCCTGAAGAGTGTGCAGACATTCTTCTCTTTCTGGAATCCAAACCTTAACCATATAGTCATAAGCACCAGATACTACAAGTTTTCCATCGTATTGAACACATCGTACCGCAGCTAAATGACCTACTAAAACATAAAGGCACTCGCCGGTATCTATGTTCCATACTCTTAACGTTGCATCTCTGGAACCGCTTACGACCCTAAAAAAAAAATTTCTTATTTAATAAAATGTCAATTTGAATGTGAATTGATAAAGTAGAAAAATTCATTCTCTGACCTGTTTTGGTGCAGATGCATACAGCGAACAGTAGAAGTGTGACCGTAGAGTGTGTGAATACAACTACCAGATTCCGCATTCCATACTTTGAGAGTTCGGTCTGTTGAACCGGAAACGATAATGTTTCCGGACATTTGTGAAGACCAGACACCACCCGTATGACCCACCAAAGTTCTTAAACACTGTAAGATAAACGTCGTTTTTAATTCGCGATAGAACGCATGGATCACGATGTGTTTCCCATAGGAAATACCTTTCCTGTCGTTGCCGACCAGACTTTAAGCGTATTATCATCCGATCCTGATACTATGCGGTTTCCAGAAAATTGTAAGCAAGTTATTACGTGATCATCGTGGCCTTTGAGTACTTTAACAGCTCTGATAGGTCTAGTTCTCCAATTCATTTCTATTTTGTGCTGTCTCATGAATGCGGCTTTCCACGAAGACGTGACATTTGTTCCAGATCTTTGACGTCTCCTATGAAGATATTCTCTCACGTCTTCGATGCCGGCTTCGCGACATTTTTCTCTCCATAAAAGATTATCTTCGGCCAAAAATCTCCATGTTTGACAAGTTTGAGCGGCTCGTAGCAGATCTCTTGGCTCCAAAAATGAAAGGACGTGGAGTGCCAACTAAAACGAATATTTTTTTCAACTAAACGAGATTTTTTTTTTTTTTTTTTGACAATTTAAGTAACGCCATTTTTGAACAATAATAACTTATTCAGTGGCATAACTGTAAACGTCAAGTATTCACATTAAATTGCCAAATGTACAAAAATAATATGAAAAACATCCAAACCGCCATCATTGTACTTGTGATGATAAAAAGACAGAAAGAATTTAAAACAAGAAAAAAATCTTTAAAATTTATAAATTATTATTAATCAAGGTTGTTGGGTTAAAGCGGTCAAATCACCTGATGATAAGAAAATGAAAGTTTACTGATCGTCACGCATTAATCTTTTTATATATTTTTGTTTTGGTTTTTTTTTTTTTTTTTATTTATAAATCCTAACTTTAAAAATGATAAACCAATATGGACACGGTTCAAAATTTTAAAAAAATAAATAATAATAATAATTGTCGTTTATTGTCATGTAAAAAGTCAAAAAAAAAAAAAAAACAAAAAGTTTTAATAGGTTTTTTAAAATTACAATTTAAGTAGTGAAAAAAAAAAAAAAAAAATTTATAAATTTATATAATTAGGTTAGTAAAAATTATTTAAATGTTTAGTAAATAATACAAAAATGAATATATGCTGCGTAGGCAAATTCCTTTGATTAAAGTTCAAAGATTGTGTGAAATAATAATTGTAAATCTATGGATAATTATTATATTCTTTTGTAATTAAATTAATAAATATTCGCATTAAATTTTTTTTTTTTTTATTAACCTA